AAATGATAGCATTTCTAGCTACAAGCAACTATCACGATACCTCTACCGATCGCTTTGATTGTCTTTCACTTCAACCTTCTAGCTTAAGTCAGATGCTACATCGGACTTGGTTCTCTGAACCATGTAACATACTCGTCTTAGTCGGACTCAATTCGATATGACTACTAGGGTCGGAATAACAACAATCTTCTTAGTCATTACTAAAACAATGGTAACAACATACTTGAACAAAATGGTATCGATTACTAGCTTCTTGGTAACCTTGTGACTTTCCCTGATCCAAGTGTGAGTCATGTGCTTCCGGTAGTATAGGCCTCTACTACCATTCACACCTACTCATACACGTCCCAAGTATTGTCTCCCAGTTCTCCAAGTCATTATCACAAAAACAGTTTTAACACATACAAATGTGTCCAAACAATCATATAATTTTCCCTAGACTCTACTAGGACTTCTTCCATGCGTATCTTCAATCATCAATTTTGCTTCAACTCGGTTGGTGATGGAAATGTCAGACGATGGGATAACTTCATGGATAATCTTTCTTTCTCATAATCGAAAGTGTGCTTCTCCCGTACTAGACATATTATTTATTAAGAACAGGGCCCACCAAAACACAAGGGCCCAATTTTTTTTTCCTTTGTTAATATTAGGTTAACGTTACTGCTTATCGCTGAAACTGGAAGAAGAGGCCGAGACGCACACAAGCGGGAAATAAAAAATTCAAGGGGGGGGGGAAAAACGCTTCGATTCTTGAACGCATGTCTACTATTGAAGGGTCTACAATCATCGACAGAAGTAAGTAACGATTCTATTTTTTTTGTTTAAAATCAGATTTGGGTTCTGATGTTTTGTTCTTACTTCTTTCTTCTCCAAAATCAGAAGTATTATCACTGATATCAAATGCATTGAACTATAAATTTAGTCTGACTTGTGGTTTCGATTCCGAAAATCAAAAGCTTTGAGTTTCTTTCATCTTACTTCTTTCTTCACTAAAATCATATGCATTTCACTAAATCAGAAGCCACGATGTCCTACTAGATCTGACGCTCTAAGTTTTCGAAAATCAACAACAAAACATATCCTAAAAGCTCCAATTCGGCTTGAGTTTTCGAAAAACCATAAGGCACAAAGAATTTTATTTTTTTCTTTCTTTTTGATTCGTATATGATATTATAATTCATTATCTTTTTGATGTAGTATTTAATCTGATTTTTTTACAGGTTTTTTGAAGGTCTTAGAATCAAAAGATTTGTAGTATCAGAAGGTCTTAGAAACAAGTTTTTAATTTTATTATTGCAATTATAATTTCATATTTTTACAGGTTTAAATAGAACCAAGTTTTTTGTGTATTATTTTGAATGGTATTTGAACTTATGTATATTGCAATTAAAAATGAAAAAGTATAACTTCTAGAGGCCAACCCTGTATATAGAATTAATGAATAATTTCATATGCTTAAGATTTTTCTAGAAGAAACTAAATGGTTAAAACATTGGTGGTGTCAACAACTTCTTTTATTGAAACGAGTCATATGAACCGATGGATCCTTACATCAAATGTGAATAAATATGGGTTAAACAAGGTAAATGAAATTAGCATACAACTCTTTGATCTTCAAAATTTTAGGGCCTATTTTTTACTAAATTGTACAAGACCTTCGAAATCCCCGGGTCGGCCCTGGGTTGGATATGAGACGATTTCATAGTTCATAGAAAAAATTGCAGACGATGTAACTAAATTTGTTGATGGCCTAAATTATTTGATGAAAACCCAAATTATTTCGGCTAAAATTGATTAAGTCATTAATTTTTTTTTCGGCTTTATTTCGGCTAAAATTAATTAAGTCATTAATTTTTTTTGGCTTTATTAGTAATTTCCAAATATTTAACTATTAAATTGCCGAGGGATACCCAAATCTAATCGAATATTGATATGATCACCGGACATACCAGCCCATACGTATCACCGGGCGTCGCGTCACACCTCTTCTGCTCTACAAACCTTCAAGACATTCAGGTTCACAACATCTGCTCCGGCGACAGTAAAACGTCGCTAATCAGCTCCACCGGAGACCGAGCGAATAACTATTTGTCTTAATACCTTGCTTTCTGTAAGGCTAAAAATCCATGGCTTATTTTCTTTGATTTTCATCGGTTAAACACACACTTAACTATTTAAGCTCAACTTTGAAACCCTAATGATTGACTGATGTTTATAGAAACCTCTAAATTGACCATTATTATGCATATTGATAATGATAATTTTCATTTCATCATCATGTTAGGTAGAGCTCAAGTTTAAAACATACGTTATTTGAGTAAGTAGCATTTCTGTATCAAATTTGAGTTACTTTGAGTAAGAGTTTACTTTTTTACTTCATTGTTCACTTTCTTTATACCAGTGATGTTCATAATTCAATTGGAGGTACTAGAGCCTTGTGGATTTTCGGATATTAATCCAATTTTCATACAATTTTCCTCTTTCTCTTGTGGCTTTGGATTTTGGAACTCCGATTGCACTATATTTTTCATTCAACTTACAGAATATTTGCAATCTTGCAACAAATCTGGATAAACAGTTAAATTCATTTGCTAGCAAGTTATTATTATGCTGAACTCTATGTTTTATATGGGTAGGTAAGAAGGAACAAATGGCTTACTCCTCATCTACTCAATTGGTAAATATATCTTCCTCTGTTCTTTTTATCACACTCCTTCTGCAGAATTTTAACTTTGTCAAGTATATTACACTATCTGATTGTTATAGTTTGTTAGTAGCAATTGTCATTGAGATAGTAATGCTTTAATGAAAACTAACTTTTAGCTTCCTAAAAGTGATCTTTATAATCTAATTATCTATTTTTTGATATTGTTTTTTCAATTGTTGTCTGTTCATAAGGTATTGCACTGGTTTCCATATAAAGACTTAGTGGGAAAATGTTCTAAAAACTGTAAGTAACCTTTTGAAATATTTGATCTGAAACAAATGAAAGTAAGATGCTGTTATAAACAAATCAATGAAAGTACATTTCTATTTCTTGCTTTTACTTTTTTTTATGCTTGATGTTTTTTTATGCAGATGGTATTCAACAATGCCTTATGTTTAATAAAAGAAAAAGAGCCCATTTGTCTCCCCGGATTTTATATCAGGATGAAATATTTTCTTGCAAAACAAGTCATCATCATAAGTTGCATAATTTCTATAAAGTTTTGAGATCTGTGATAGTTAGATCAGAAATTGCTGGAAGTGGATCCACTTCAGCTGCATATCATTTGCCAGGTATATTCCTGTTTTCCTTTTTGGGTTACAAGAAATAGCAAAATGTAGTTTCATTTATTTGTTTATTACATCATCATAACTGTAATTTCTTCCTATTGCAACAATGTACTTTGACAAATATACCCAATTCTAGCTGTATTATCTAAAGGGTTAATCTCATGAAAGACCTTATATTTTGTGTTTTTTCCAGATTAAATCTCAATTTTATTTTCTTCCTTGAAAAAACCTTGCATTTTTTCATTTTTTTTCGATTTGGCCCTTTTTGTCTTTTTTTTTTTGCCGAAAAACTTGTAAACATGAGGGTTTTTTCGGAAACAAATAAAAAAGTTGAGGGGTTTTTAGGAAACAGTTAGAAGGTTGAGGGTTTTTCTTCGTAAAAAAAGGGTAATCTCAAATTATATTTTGAGTTTTTTCTGGATTAAACCTCAAATTTATTTATTTTTCCTGAAAAACACCTTGTATTTTTTTTAATTTTTCCGATCTAAAACCCTTTGTCATTTTTTTTCCAAAAAAATTATAAAATCAGAGGGTTTTTTCGAGAAAAACTAAAAAAGTTGAGGGTTTATCTGGAAGCATTTAGAAGGTTGAGTTTTTTTTTTCGTAAAAAAAAATACAAAATTGAGGGCCTTTTTGGAAAAAATGAACAAATACGAGGTCTTTTTCAGGCAAAAAATAAATTTGAGGTTTAATCCGGAAAAAACACAAAATATAAGGTTTTTTTTAGATTAACCCTAAAAAGAAGACAAAGTTGAGGGTTTTATCTGTAAAAATGAAAAAATACAAAGTCTTTTTCAGGAAAAAAATAAAGTTGAGGAAAAAAATAAAGTTTAGGACTTTTTTGAAACTTTTCCCAAAAGTTTGGGACTTTTCTGTAGATTTCCCAAACTGAAAATACAATGATACGAAAGTACATTGCTATTTCTTGCATTCAATAATTTTTTTTATTCCTTTGTATGCAGAGTTCCAATTGATCTCAAAAGTTAGAGGGGTTTGCTTTTATAGCGTTACATCAATTATTGCTTTATTTTTATTTGTGTTAATGGTGATATCACATCCATTTGTGGTGTTAAGAGATGGATACCAAAGAAACTTTCATCATTTGATTGCTAAAATTTGGGCATGTATGAGTGTTTATCCATTTTTTAAAGTAAAGATTCAAGGGTTTGAAAATCTACCCCCGAAGAATTCTCCAGCTGTATATGTCTCCAATCACCAGAGTTTTTTGGACATTTATGCCCTTCTGACTTTAGGCAGAAACCACAAGTTCATTAGCAAGACTGCAATCTTCCTTTTTCCGGTTGTTGGGTGGGCCATGTTTTTAATGGGTCTTATTCCCCTTAAGCGTATGGACAGCAGGAGCCAATTGGTATTATTATTATTATTATTTGACAAAATTACACAATTGGTCCCTGTGGTTACCGGATTTAACACATTGAGGACAACTATGGTGGTCTGTGGAAACCTCTACGCACTTGGTTTTCATTTTGTTACAAAAGTGATATGAAATTATTCATTTTGGGAAGTTTTTTGATAAAGTCTTTTTTCTGAAGAGAAAAGTCTCGATTATTTAATATTTTGCCAAAATTAACGAAAAAGTCATTATTTTTATTTTAACAGGAAATGACAGATTATCGTGTAAAATTTAATTATTGAATGAGACTTTTCTGCATAAAACCATTTTATTAATTTATATATATATATATTTGGTTTTAAATTAATGCTTTATTTATTAGAAAATAAGCCCATCCACCATCTAGCACCACCACCCTATGGGAGGGGGTTGGGTTTATTTATTTATTTTTCAATTAAAACCAATTAAAAAAAGATAAATTAAATTAAAAGGGTACAAAAATCATTTTACATGGGTAAAGGACCAATAATGCAAGAAAATGAAACAACAGGGACTAAGCGCGTAGATGTTTCCATAGTTGTCTTCAACATAGTAAATGTGGTAAACCACAGGGACCAATCGCATAATTTTGTCTTATTATTATTACTTTTGAATTATGTTTAATTGATTTTTTTTGTGAGCATAGCAAACTTTAAAAAGATGCATGGAGCTTGTTAAAAATGGTGGATCCGTTTTCTTTTTTCCCGAGGGTACTCGGAGTAAAGATGGACGTTTGGGCACATTTAAGGTGTATAATTATAGCAAAAAATTGAATGTTGGATGCTATGATAAACAAATAAACAAAAATGGTTTTATACATTTTGCATTTAATTTTAATTCTTAAAATTGATGAAATTTTTTGTTTATGTGTAGAAAGGTGCATTCAGTATTGCAGCAAAAACCGGAGTACCAGTGGTTCCAATCACTCTTGTTGGAACTGGGAAAATAATGCCAGCTGGCATGGAGACAATATTAAACCCCGGATCAGTGAAAATTATCATCCATCCATCTATACAAGGAGATAACCCCGATAGTCTATGCAATGAGGTCAAAAACGTAATTACAAACGAGCTTATTAACCAAGCTTAAATTTTGTCATCTTCTTCTACTGTCGAACTAAAAATTGTACTCTATTATTTTCTTTATTTCAAAATTTAGAAAAATATATTTGAGCAAACGTTCTTTAGGTTCCATGTGTTTAAGTAGGACAATATTTCTTTTTTTTTTTTTTTTTTTTTCTGGCAAAATATATTTGTGCAAACGTCGTTTTGTAAGAATTTATAGGCGATTGTATAAGTGCTAAAAGTAGGAGTAGAATGTGTTAGACTGACACACAATAAAATTGTTTCTAGTTTATCAAGGATAAGATAATGAAAAGGGTTAATCACAATTTTCTTTTTATCTCTGTGGTCTATTGATTTTTATGGATATAGTTTACTAGTTTGGTTTATAACTTTTGGATTCCGAAAATATAGTGTCGTTCTTTGAAATCTGTCAACATTCAGCGTATTTGATATATTATTGAACGAATCAGGCCGTCCCTGACATTTTGGAAGTCTTGTGTGAAAATCAAAGTGAGGCCCTATAACAAATTTATTGTAAAATATTATTAAGTAAATTTGCAACTGTTAAATTCAAAACATAAAATTGGTAACAAAAATCTCATAAATTCACTACCATAATATTATATCTTCACTCATTAGTACTTTTAAAAAAAAAAGATAAAAAGCCAGCGCATTAATATTTTCTAAACATCGACTTTCTAGCATTTTAGAAGCAAATATATCTATTACACTTTTGATAATCAATATTTTCAAAAAAAAAAAAAAAAGAACCATTCTCAATCGAAATAAAAGTTAAAGCATTTAATCTCTATTCAGGCATGGTTGAGAGCAAATAAGATTTTAAAAGTTTTAGTTTTCAAAAGCTTATTTTTGTTGATGCAATTGTAATAGGAACAATCAACTATTGTATGTAGACAAGAAACTAGATAATTGTTTACCATTTTTAAGAAATTCAGTATTGTGTTTGTTGTATTATGTTAAACAGGTAAATATTTTTGCAATAATTTCAATTTGTTGAATAAATCATCAACATTGATGTCTGAGATATAGCCGTTTTGCAACCTATTTTCAATATATTTTGCAACTTGCCTTTAACTCAATAATATTCACCTTTAACTCACTAATATTCAGTGACTTCAAATTTTCTGTTGTGAATAAGAAACCAAAAGTGCGTGATACTGTTGGTATTATTCAAACATTCGCTCACTCAAATTAACCGATAGCTTAATGAAATATGTACACAAAATATTATGTACATAAAATATTGAATCCTGAAACATATTTGTATTTTTCTTTAGATATAGATAATTTCATTAAATTATTGTTAGATTTGATAATTTATGATTATATTTTGATATTTTGATTTTTTTTTATAATTCAACTGACTTCAAGATTGCAACCAAATTCTACAATGTGCATATAAGAAACAGACAACCAAATTTATTTAATGATAACTCATAAAAATGTATTTTATGAATATACCAACATCATAACTATATATTTGTCCTAAAACTTGGAGGCCTCTTAAAATCGGAGGCCCCGTACGACCGTACCTCCTGCACACCCCCGAGGCCACTACCAGAACGAATCAAAAAAGAAACTTTTGTAAACCATTAGTTCCCGAGTTTTAAAAAAGAAGAGAAAATAAAGTAATGAGAGAAAAGAAAAGAATGAAAAGAAAAATAAAATTTTCTTTTGTGTTTCCAAGTTGGAGAAAATAAAAATAAAAATAAATCTTTTGTTCTTTCTCTCCGAATCATTTCAAATCGGAAAGAAAGGAAAGACTAAAAGTGATCCTTGTATTCACTTTCACTTCCCTCCGCTTCATTCATTTAATTAAACTATTAAAGTCACAAATCAATTCCATTTCTTAGTTGAACTCTGGGTTAGGAAGATTAAACACTAATGATTCATGGGCCTTGAAATTGGGATTAAGCCCAACTTGATATTATTAACCGGTTCATTACATATCTATGCATCTTTTATCCACAGCCGCGACGACAGAAAAACGAACACTTGGTTGTGAATTTTGGTTCAACTTTTAAATCCGGAGGAGAATAATGAAAGCCGGCGGTGGATTGGTGTTCGGAGCTCCACGCGCCGCTGCTCTGCCTACGCTATTTCTCAGTCGCCGCCGCAGTGCCACATTTCGATGCTACTCTTCTTCTTCTTCTTCTGGTATGGTGATTCCTGCTCTTACTCTAAGCTCAAACCATCTATGAATCATTTTCCTGATAATGTGCACATCGGAGCTATAGTTATCGTTTCTATCAGCGTTTCCGAAACTTTTACGATCGATAACGGAGTTTGTTAGTTTAATTTATCATACTTGTCATTGTTGGCGATTTGTGAGTTGGAAGTTTGGAATTTGCATTTTGTTTCGCCATACTCGTTACTGTTTGCGAATCGAGAGTTGAAAGTTGTAGTAATTTTATGCAGAGTGTTTAAGGTATCTAAAGAATGCATTGAACTCATGAATAAATTTCATTATTGGATCTAGTGTCAGTTTTGCCAATATAAAATTTCCTCAATAGAAGTAGTGATACTTGATATGATAGATTGATAGTTAACAAGAGGAATGATTCTTCCATTCATGTGGTTTATGTAGTTATTTGATATATATTGATCAGACTCAGATTCTGATCATTAATTGTCTTTTTCATCCAAGTATATAATTGATTCGTATGTAGTTATCAAATCTATGGTTCATAATGTTTCCTTGCGAATAAAATGGCAAATTGGGAAGACTTCTTTGATCATAATTTTTGTCCCAATTTAAATGTGCAGACCATGTTTCGTTTATAAAAGACATTGCTGTAGCTCAACCTCCTGAACACCTGCATCACCTTCTAAAGATGCTTCAGGTGAGAGGTAAAAGTAAAACCTTTGGAATCATGAATCATCATATCTAAATTCAATCACTTGTCAGAAACCCTAAAATCCTGCCATTTTCATTGCTTTATGACAGGTGAATCTATAATCTCCCCTGCTATGAAACAAGGGATGATTCCCCTAGCAATCCCTCTATCAAAAAACAGCCTAGGTTTGTATTTTATATTTGTATCAAATCTAAACACTTAAAAAAGTAAAATCTCATAAAACTAATATATATATATTTTTCTTTTTTTCAATTTCTAGGTTCTGTAACAGCATTATTGAGATGGCCAACTGCTCCACCTGGGTAAGGAATTTTACAATTTTACAATTTTGCCCCTCGTTGTGGGGATTGTTTTCTTCATGTAATTGAGCTTCTTACATACAGGATGGAGATGCCAGTGGTGGAGGTCCGTAGTTATGGAGTGTGGCTTTTGGCCAAGAATGTGAGTTTACCATAATGCCCTTTTATTATAAGTTGGTAAAAGTAAAACATAGTCAAGCATTTAAAGATAGATTATTTGACATGATTAATTTCAGGTAGACCAATATATTCACAGACTATTAGTTGAAGAGGATGCTAATGGAGGCATCAATGAACTGTTTCATGCTTCAGGTGAAGTTGGTGAAAAACTCTACACAAAGGGCGATTTTGGTAAATCGCGCAAGCCAAATTTGGATGTGTACCTTCTTCAGAAGGTACTATTACTATGAGACAATAGTTTTTGGTATGATGGAATCAGGGAAGGAATGGAATGGCTCATTCCATTCCATCCATCCAATTAAACAGATCCTTAATCTATTGACAGGTTGGCCTTTTTCCAGACATCCTGGAACGTAAAGTGATGGATCATTTCAAGAAAGGAGATCATGTAAGATTACCCTTTTTTTTGTCACTGTCTCTAAAAATTCAAATTGACTATTTTACCCTTACTTTTAAATTTTAATCATATACACATGATGGTAAAAGGTTTCAGCGATGGTAACTGGAGAATTCTATACCAAAAAGGAGCATTTTCCTGGATTTGGACGCCCTTTTGTTTTTAATGCCGAGATTTTGCTCAAGTATGAGAAAATTCCATAATAATTTTTTATTTTGTTTTATATGAAAATTTCCCTACAAATTTAATTTCTTGTGTTCTGTTTATGAATCATTTTTGAAATATTTAGGGTTGGACGTAAAATAGAAGCCAAAGATGCTGCAAGAGGTGCACTAAAGTCGCCATGGTGGACTTTAGGTTGTCCCTATCAGGTTTGGTTGAAAGAATTTATTATTATTTTTTTTTTTTGTAAATATTTATAATTGAAATATTAGTTATTTTGTTAATTTAATATAGGAAGTTGCTGACATGGCGGAATGGGATGATGAGCAAATTGAATTTATAAAAGAAAAGGTGTCAGAGGAAGGGAAACAAGAAGATTTAATGAAAGGCAAAGATGCTGCCCAGGTAACAAAACCCTGTTATAAAAAATGAAATGTCTAAAATAACCTTTTTAGTAAATTGAATTTTGACAAATTGTAAGTGTAGATTTCGTTAGATGAAGCTGCTTTTCTTCTGGATTTGGCATCGATTGAGGGCACGTGGGACCAACAAATGGAACGGATTGCTGAATGTTATAACGAGGGTGGGCTCCCAGAAATTGCAACATTTATCAAATATAGAGATTAATAATCAACTTGGACTTTATATTTATATTTGGGAGTTTCTATATTTAGAATGTAGAGTCATGTTGTAAACCTTGTTGATTTTTTTTTTGAGGAATATACATAATACATAATGATAGTTATGGTTGAGAGATCTTTATATGTGTTTGGAGTAATGATACATTTTATTTCTCAATATAAGAATATCATTAGATATATTGCTTGCTTAACAAAGTAACAATTATATATTTTAAAATGTAAAAGCCATTAATGTATGTAAAAGGCTTAGATCTTCATTCAAAAGCAAATCCCATTTCTTTAGGTTACAGTTATATTATATATATACACACATCACATTACAACAAAAATCCATCTCTTTTCTTTCTATATCTTTTAGGGATTCCAACCAAAAGCCAAATCACATTATTCCCAAATCCCAACCCACACAACTATAGTATATCCTCCTAATTACATTCGATTTGACATAATCTACTGTTATTATAAATTTTTTTTTTACATACGTGTCATATAATATTCAAACCATATGCCAAAAATGTCAACTAGGAGGACAAAAACGTCATTTCACTTGTTACTTTTCTTCCTTCTCCAAAGCAATTTCCTCAACACTCCACTTTTCTTCTTCTTACTTGGAACAATTGACAAAAAATTCACCAAAGCATCTTCATCTTCTTGATGATTTATTCCATTAATCCCATTTACACCTACAAATGATGATTTTGTTTTTGTGGATTCGATAGCTTTTGCCGCATCCTCCGCCATCATTTTATCGAGAAGAGAAATCCGGTGGTGGTTCGTGGCGGCGGTTACGGGTGGTGGTGGTGGTGGAGGTGGCGGAGCTTCATAAATCGGGTTGCATATAATTTTATCGGAACCAACGGATGTATTTATTGGTGAAGCTAATGCTTTTAATTGTTTCCCGAGGTTTAAAATTGTTTCTTGGCATTCGGCTAATTTTTCTGAAGCCACTATTATTTCACGCTCCTGCGTGTAATTTTTGAGTATTATAAACTATAATTGTTGCCGACAAGAAATTTGAGGTATAGTAAGAAGAAATGATGATCTGATCTGATCAGAGATCAGATCGTCATTTCTTCTGGAGATTTGATAAATAGGACTCACGAAATCACCGTGAGTCCTAATTGTTATAAAATGAATGATAACTTACACTTTGAAGTCTCTTTTCATCTTCGTTCAACTCAATTGTTTGTATATCCCGTTCTATCACGCTGAAATTAGTCATTTAAAAATGTTGTTATGTAAAATCGGAAAACAAAAGTAAATTATATTTGATAAACAATGAAAAAAAAATATTATTTTCTAGTAAAAAAAAATTACCATTCAGACATGAATTGTTGATCAAGATTTTCAGATTCTAGTTCTTGATTACAGCTAGTGTTATTACTTTCTTGCCCTTCAACAGACATAGATTTTTCAAAAATCTCATTATACTCACCAATCGCCTCAATCAACTGTTCATCAAGATCTTCTTTCACCTTCATATCCAATTCCTTTGACACCTTCAAAGATTCCAATTCCAATTCCAAATTTTCAATCACTTTTTCCGATTCCTTAACCTTCATAACCAACAACTCACTCTTCCCAACTTCCAATTCCAATTTCTGTTCCAAATTATCCAAATCATCTTTCAATTTCTTAACCTCTTCAAACTCACCACGATTCTCATCCCCCCAATCAAATCTTTTATCCATTTCATGCCTCATACTTGACACATCTTGAAGAGAAAAACAATGGTTCACAATCCATTCCAAAGTCAAAGTCAACTCTTTGACAAATTTCTCAAAGTCAACGCTCCTGTTCAACAAACCATTACAAGTTTTTACAAACGATTCAACAACACCACTAAGCTCACATGTCTTCCATTGAAGAACACGAACTGTGTATCCTTCTGTTGTTGTTGATGTTTCTGAAGCTTTATCACATAATCTCATCCCTTCAATCATCTCAATAAGTTTTTCAATTGACTTTTTATCAAATGGGGTTTCTTGATTTTCAACTGAAACTATTGCTAGCTTTTCCATTTCAATGAAATCATCCATTAATCCGATATCTGAAGCTCCTACTGTTTTGCAAGATGGGGCCCACGATTCAGCCATGCTTGCCTTTTCATCAATGTCAGAAGATGCTGATAAATTTGTTTTTTGGGTGATGAATTCTTTAAGAAGTTTGTTTTCTTCTTCTAAAGAACATAATTGTTCAGTTAAAAAGTTGATTTGCTTACTTGAAGTGATTGAATCATGGTCAAAGTTTGACTTTTTTCCGAGCAATTCTACTTCGGTCTTCATTTTTGCAAGAGCAGCGGGACCCGGGAGACGTTTTCTAACAAGAACACGGAGTCTTTGTGCTTCGGTTTCCAGCTGTGCAATCTTTTTCACACTTGCTAAGTGTTGTTTGTGTGCCACGTCAGCAGTTCTTCGATTGAAATCTCTCTCTTCGTTTCTGATTTCAAGTTCTTTCTCCATGACTCTGACTTCATAGCTTAAAGAAGCGTTGTCTCTCTGAGTTGACTCGAGTCGACTCATGAGTGAACTCAGATCAGAATCCAATTGATTCTTTGATAAATGTAGTTCGTCTATGAGTTTTTCTTTTGATAAAAGAGCTTTAGTCAAATGGGTATTTTCGGAAATTAGTTTCGAAAGTTTTTTATTCGATTCTGATAACTTTTCCTCTAGAATGATTCTTGATTTTTCGTATTCTCGTGATGTTTTCATCACAGCATCATGAATCCTTTTTTCTTGTTCTTCACGAACGAATCTAAGCTGATGCATACACTCTTTTAAAGCTGCATCAACACCATATAATCTCTCATCACTTTCTGCTGTTTGTTGTGTAGCTTTTTCTAGCTCTTGTTTTAATGCTAAAACTTCTGCTTCTGCTTTCTCCCATCCTGTATAAAAGTCAAACTTTGGTCAATATAAACAAGAACACCATAAAGATCATCTTAAAAACATATTATCAAAGACCTTGAATGGCTTCACGTGCGATGTTTGTTTGTTTCTTAGCAATGTCATCTTTGGTTTTAATCTCAGCAAGTGCATTTGAAAGCTTTTCATTTGAAATATTCAAGTTTCTTTCAAGTTCATCTTCATAAGCTAAAATTCCCTGTAACTAAAAACAAGAGAGCTGTTAGAAACATGTATGGATTATTTAGTCAAAGATCTGTAACAAAAAGTCAAACCCTTGTACCTCATCTTCATTCCCTCTGTTGACCTTATCAGGTGTAAACATGGTCTTCTCAATTGACTTTTTCTTCCATAGCCATGACTTGTGTTCCATTGCTTGAAAATACCTTTTTAATGTTTGGTAACTTAAGTCACATAGGACCTGTGACAATACAGAAAAAAGGTGAACTTATTAGAGATTAAAGAATTGCACATTATTATTTAATCTTGATTAATCAGTAAACTTAGACTAATTGTTGATAATTTGAGGAAAACAATGATGAATAGATGATTCCTCTCGTTTCCAAATTCCAATTAGGTTTAGGGATTGAAAGAGGAAAAAGGATCGTTTCATGGTAATTGTTACTGACTTACTGTGTTAAAATCTCATATAAGACAAATTATAATTAATATGATTCACCGACAAAGTATTTTTCATTTCTTCCAAATAGTAAAAATCGCGATTCAGGTAAAAAAGGGGAAAAATTAGTCTACAGGATTTAGTCAATACGAGTTGCTAACAGATCAAATTTCAACGAAATCAGTCAAAAATAATGTCCAAAAAGGAAAAATAACACTATACTACAAAGAATAACAGAAACAAAACACATATATTAAATCAAACTAACAATGTAAAATCATAATAAAGATGGAGGCAGAAGGGATCAAACAAAGGCATTAATGATCACAGCTACTATGACAAAGCTTTTTCGCTGTGACATTCATGAATCATCATTTTTTCCGTAAAAAAATGAAACTAAAACTCAAATCTGAACTTCAGAAAAAGAATGAAGAAACGAATCAAAAGAGGAGCATGCACATCAGTGGATCTCATTGCAAACAAACTAAAAATGTGAGTTGCGATCTTACCGACGGTCAACAACAGAACACCGACGGTCAACGGAGCACCGACCGGAGCATTAACTGAAGAAAATAAAAGTTGAGCACACGAGAATAATGGAGAAGAAGAAGCCACAACTGGAGCTAGTTTCTAGAGAGAGAGAGAGAGAGAGAGTAAATGTAGCGTTGCAAGCTGTACTGTACGATATATAACACTCTCACACACACAGAGGTATATATATATACTTATATATGTATCTATAGAGAAAGTATTTATATATTATTATTTTATTTATAGTGAGAGAGATTGCGAATCGAGTGCATCTGACAAGTACGTGACGAAGTCGGGCCGGGTCGTCCACTTCTGATGCAGATCGGTTTTACGCGTATGACCTCATTTATGGTTAAAATCTACTAGCAAACTAACCAAACTAATCAAGCATATTAATAAAAGTATATTTTTTTAAATATACAAAATGTCAAAAAGTTGTCACAGGATCTTGCTTAAAATAATTTTATGATTTACGTGATCGTAAGATCCTATCAAAATGAACTTATATTCAAATTTGCTCGCAAGATAGTGTTATCAACTTTAACTTCTTAAGCATCATCTATAATTTTTGTTGCTGCAAACCGTAAACACTAAGAATAAGTTATCTTAATTAGAAATAAGATCATTTTGATCATGTACAAGTAAGACGTAATATTACAAAAAGATTATGCCTAACTCGAGATGAAATTGATAAAATGCGATGCCCTAGAAGACTTCTTGCAACTTGTGACGCTTGATTTCAAGTTGAATAGACAAAGTTTTGATACTCAGCTATATAATAAAACTACAGAGGTGAGATCGGGATCGTAGTGTAACCAGTGTAGTGAATAGAATTGAATCTTGTCATTTGTATTCATATCATGTACATATATTTATACAGAGAGATTACAACTAAAATACGAGATAAATGCTCCTATAACTATGGTAAGTCTATGCTGACTATTTGACTAAAGACTTTATCAATTCAACATGTGTTTAATCTGCTAATACCCTCCGGCAAGCTCAAGGGTGGAAGGACTTGCAGCTTGGAACGAAGAAAGAGAATGCGACTTTTGGCTAGTGGTTTAGTAAAAATGTCAGCTAATTGATCAACAGATGAGACATAGCATATCTTTAGCTGGCCAGATTCGACTTATTCCCGAATGAAATGGAAATCTAGAGCAACATGTTTTGATCGTGTACTAATTACTGGATTTTTGCTCATGAATATGGCACCAACATTATCACACAAAAGAAGAGGAGGCTGAGTTATCGGGGCGCGAAGATCAGCTAGTAACTGTTTGATCCACATGAGTTCGGTTGTGGTGTAAGCCAAGGAACGATATTCAGCTTCGGTGCTTGAGCGAGCCACAACCTTTTGTTTTCGAGAGGTCCAACTTATCAAATTTGATCCATGAAAAACAAAAAATCCGTATTGAGATCGGCTATCATCTTGATGTGAGTTCCAACAAGCATCAGAGTAAGCGTGAAGGGATTTGGCGGCGGTGGGCTTGAAATGAAGACAATTATCAATTGTCCCGTTTAGATACCGAAGAATACGTTTGACAGCTTGCCAGTGATTAGTGGTTGGTGAGTGCATGAATTGACACACCCGATTAACTGAGTAGGCGATATCTGGTCGTGTGATGGTGACATATTGTAGCGATCCAACAATTTGTCGGTAAAGAGTGGGATCGTGGAATGGATCACCATCACGCTGAAGACGAGTCTGTGGATCAGCTGGTGTGGTGATGGGAGTGGCTATGATCATTTTACTGCGGTTGAGGATTTCACTGATATATGTTTGTTGTGACATCGTGAGACCGGTAGCATGTTGATGAATTTGAATGCCAAGAAAATAATGCAAGTCACCAAGGTCCTTGAGGGAGAAGACACGATGTAAGGCAGTGATAAAACCTTGGAGATGTTCATCATTTGTTCCTGTCACAATAAGATCATCGACATAGACCAGAACATATATGGTGGAATGTGAGGAATGATGAACGAATAGTGATGTATCAGACTGACAAGCATGAAAACCATGTGAGACCAAGTACTGTTTTAGCTTGGTAAACCAAGCTCTTGGTGCCTGTCGAAGACCATAAAGAGCTTTGTGAAGTGGACAGACATGATTAGGTTTTGTAGGATCTTCAAACCCCTTTGGCTGTTTCATATAGACTTCTTCAGATAAGTCACCATTTAAAAACGCATTATTTATGTCAAGCTGTCTGATTCGCCAACCTTGGGAGATAGCAAGAGACAAAACTAATCGGATTGTTGTTGGTTTGATAACAGGGCTAAACGTATCAAAAAAATCAACACCCGCTTCTTGGCTGAATCCTTGAGCAACCAACCTTGCTTTGTGACGTTCAATTGTGCCATCGGAGTGCCTTTTTATCCTGAAAATCCACTTACAACCAACAATATTAGTGTTAGTAGGACAACCGACAAGAGACCAGGTGTTATTTTTCATGAGAGCATCATATTCTGCTTTCATTGCATTTTGCCAACACGCGTGCTTAATGGCTTGGGTATAGGTTTGGGGTTCAACATCAGAGTTGGGGATAGTGGTGGTCTGAAATATCTTTGGTTTGAGAGAATTTGTGCGAGCACGAGTGATCATTGTATGTTGACTTTGATCTGCAGGTCGGAAATGGGTTGGTATGGAAGTTTCTTTTGCACGGGAACTAATAGTTGATTGGTGATAATGGGGAGTGGATATAGTAGTGTTGGGTGGTGTCATAGGTTGTGGACTCTCGGTGGGGCTGGTGGGTTGAGAATGGTTGTATTGAGGGCTGGTGGGTTGAGAATGGTTGTATTGAGGGCTGGTGGGTGGATCACTTGTAGGTGTAGTGGTAAGTGGAGAGGATGAGTTGGAAGGGGGAACAACCGCGAATAATGGTTGGGAAGGTTGAAGATCATGGGCATGTTGAAGAATAGTGGAGGATATGTGAGGTGGTGATGAGGTGGAGGAGGACTCGGTGGGGGTAGAGGCGGTGTAGGGAAAAATATCTTCATTGAAGACAACATGGCGAGAGATGTAGATACGGTTTTTGGGTTGATAAAAGCATAGATAACCTTTGTGAGCTGCACTATAACCAAGAAAGATGCATGGTAAGGATCTAAAATCAATTTTATGTTTATTGTAGGGCCTTAGAAAGGGGTAGCACAGACAACCAAATGTTTTCAGAAAATCATAATCTGGGGTTTTGTTATATAGTTTTTGGTATGGAGATGCATTGTTGAGCACAAGAGTGATGGTAAGGTTGTGTAGATAGGTTGCAGTTTTGAAGGCATGTTCCCCAAAAAATTGGGGAAGAGATGACTGAGCTAAGAGTGTCAAACCTTTTTCAACAATTATGCGATTTCGACGTTCTACATCACCATTTTGTTCTTGTGTGTGGGGACAAGAAACACGGTGAATGATGCCAAGGGTTTTAAGAAATGTTGAGACAGTTTAAAATTCACCACCCCAATCAGTTTGTAGGCTTTTAATGTCGCAGGAGAACTGAGTTTTGATCATGGCATGAAATTCTTTGAACACAGAGAAAACCTGTGATTTTTGGGTTAGAATATAGATCCATACAAATTTCGTGCAATCATCAATAAATAGAAGAAAATATCTGTTTCTATTTAACAAAAAAAGAGGGGAAGGACCCCAAACATCCGAATAAACTAATTCAAAAGGTTTTGTAGCAGCTACATGACTAGAAGAGAGATGAAAACGATGACTTTTACCCATCTGACATGAATCACAAATAGATGAGAGTTTATTTGATGACAATGGAAGATTAAATGAAGAAACTAAGCGTCTTAAAACATTTTCATTGGGATGAGCAAGTCTTCTATGTCATCCTTGAAGAGAAGTCTTAACGCCCATGAAAGCCACATGAGGATGCTTGGAGCGATTTATTTGATTATGGGGCAACCGGTATAGACCATCACTAACGTCCCCTCGAAGTAGTGTTTGTCCCTGCAAGTTCTTAATATTGCAATGTTTAGACCATAGTTCAACATAAACATTATTATCCTCAGTTAATTTAGAAACACTGAGGAAGTTTTTGGTTAATTTGGGTACAATAAGCACGTTTGGCAAATGTAAATTAGGCAGAGAAGATGAACCAACATGAGAAATAGACAACTGGTTACCGTTTCCTACTTGTAGTTTGTCATCTCCCTTGTACTCATCTACAACATTGAGTTTCTGTAGATCAGGTGACAGATGATCTGTAGCTCCTGAATCCAAATACCAGTTGGGATCAATGACAGTAGAGGGGCTGTAGTGTTGAGCGATGTGAGCTTGACGGGACTGGTTTTGCGGATTGGGTCGGCGAGAGGGGAAATCAATTTGATTTTCTCTTTGCCAACAATCTATAGCTTCATGACCTTGCCTGTTGCAGATTTGGCATAGGAGTCGACGTCTCTTAGCATCAGTATTGCGACTTCCTGAAGACGAACTAGAGTTGTGGTTGTTGGAAAAGCCATTTGATCTATTTGAAGTGCGATTGACAGTGAGGGCAGCAACAGAACTAGCAACATAATTGGTTTGAGCAGAGTTTTGGCGAATATAATCTTGTTCAATCCTTGCTTCTTCTTGGAGTAGCTGTCCAGTAAGATCATCGACAGACAGAAGTTATGTTTTCATCATAAAGGCGGTGACAAAAGGTGCGTACGATGAGTCTAGCCCATTTAAGAGATAACCAATCAAGTCCTCATCAGATATGGGACTTTGATTTGCAGAAAGGGAGTCTGCAATTGATCTGTTGCGGTCAATATAGTCCATCATGGTCATGGACCCCTTGGAGATGGATTGGATTTGGGCCTTAAGTTGCATTCTGGATGCCCGAGTTTGGGCTTGAAAAGATCTGTCGATGGCTTGCCAAGCCATATGAGAAGAATTGCAGCGAGTTACAAGGGCTAGGGATTTTTCAGATAGCGTCGACTGTAGCCATAGTAATACGAAGCGATCTCTTTTCTTCCATGTGATGTACGCCAGATTAGGAGCAGTGGTTTCCGGAGTGGCTGGAATGGCGGGTGTAGTATCAGTACCAGGTGTTCCTTCGGTGGCTGGAACAATGATAGTTTCTGATGGTGGAGATGGATTTAGGACAAATTCTTCAAGATCGAAAGTTTCTAGGGCAGCAATAATGGTGGTACACCACAATAAATAGTTTTCACGATCAATTTTGACAGGAATT